AAGCAAAAAGAAAAAAAGCCAGAAGTGGCGCTGTGGCTCAAGTGGTAGAGCGCTAGCCTTGAGCTGAAGAGCTGAGGGACAGCGCCCAGGCCCAGAGTTTAGGCCCCACGACCGGACCCAAAAAAAAGAAAAAAAGAAATGAAGGACATCTGGGGCTGGGAAGGTGGCTCAGTGCATGCATGAGGCCCTGGATTTGATTCCTCAGCAACATATAAGCAGAAAAATCCAGAAGAGGTGCTCTGGCTCAAGTGATAGAGCGTTAGCCTTGAGCGGAAGAGCTAAGGGACAGCACCCAGGCCCCATGACTGACACACAAAAAAAGAGGATAACTACTCGTCATATAATTTCTAAATGAATCCATGTTCTTTTTTTTTTTTTTTCAGTCATGGGGCCTGAACTCTGGGCCTGGGCACTGTCCCTCAGCTCTTCAGCTCAAGGCTAGCACTCTGCCACTTGAGCCACAGTGCCACTTCTGGCTTTTTTTTTCTGCTTATGTGGTGCTGAGGAATCGAACCCAGGGCCTCATGCATGTGAGGCAAGTGCTCTACCACTGAGCCACCTTCCCAGCCCTGTAAGACTCTTATCTCCAGTTAACCACCAAAAAACTGGAAGTAGTGCTGTGGCTCAAGAGGTAGAGCGCTAGCCTTGAGCTGAAAACTTGAGTGACAGTGCCCAGGCCCAGAGTTCAAGCCTCATGACAAAAAAAAAGGAAAAGAGAGGGTTCAACAGTACATTTAAATTCCCTGAGTTGTGTTTTCCTTTTTCTTTTTATGCAGGTCCTGGGGCTTGAATGCAGGGCTTGGGTGCTGTCCCTAAACTTTTTTTTTTTTTTTTACAAGTGCTCTACCACTTGAGCAACAGCTTTACTTCTGGCCCTCAGTGGTTAATTGGAGATGAGACTCTCATAGACTTTCCTGTCTAGGCTGGCTTCAAACAGCTATCCTCAGATCTTAGCCTCTTGAGTAGCTAGCAATATAGGCATGAGCCACTGGTGCCTGGCTCCTTTTAATTTTTCAATATCAGCAAAGCTAAAAGCAAGAGAGCTTTTTTTTTTTTTAATTTTTATTTTATGTCTGAATCAAATGAAAATCCCAACCTGTGTTTCACCCCTTGGGTCTTCCGGTCCACATGCAGTGTGGATCATTCATTCTCCCCAGATCACTATTTACTGCATCATTGCTGCTGCACAAGAGCTAGGCCATCAGCAATATTAGGAGGTACAGGGGCAAAAGGAGATTGTCTATCTGTGTAGTGTATGCTTCCAGGAGGGACACAGTGCTGATGGACCCCAAAATCCAAGCATAACTGTAGTTTAGGTCCACACCACTATCAAAGATTAAGATGAGAGCTACAGAAATAATCTGGGCAAATATAGATGTCATGGTCCCTTCAAAAGTCTTCTTGGTTCCAGGCCAGTGGATCTCCCCCATGGTGCTGCCAAAGATGGAGGCCACAGTGTCACCTACACCCACAGCTAAGACACCAGCATAGGGGACTAGAGCCCTTGCTCCTCCCAGGCTGCCCTTCTGTGTGCAGGGTCTGGGGATCAGCCAGATGGGAAGAGACATGCCTAGGAGTAAGTAGATGTGTGTCAGGATAAGTGGCCCACTGTCTCGTTCATCCAGGAAGAGGGACAGGAGGCTCCGCAGCACGTGACCCAAAGGCTTGATGCGGAAGTAGCGCACATACTCCAGGAAGATGAAAACTGCCAAACATACAGTGGCGGCCACATAAAGCAGGGGGCGATCAAAGATGATACCTGGGATGTAAGTGGCTACCACAATAAAGTGGAAGTACTTCCTGGTGATGGTGGGAGCCTGGTGCTTCTTGGACTCAGAAGATGATCGCTTAGTGTTCTGGTACAGCACCACCAGGCAGGCCACAGTGGCCAGCAGAGACCAATAAGCGAGGAGATAGATACGGGTTTCCGTCTGGAAGAGGAACTGCAGAAGCCAGAGTAAGGGGTTCTTGTGAATGAGCCAATGCAGCCAGGGCAGGACCACACCAAGGCCCAGCACACATGTCATGAGGTGGAAGAAGATGGAGGAGGCCCAGGTGCCTGAGTCCATGAAAACAAAGAGGGTGCTGAAGAAGACACCCATGAGTACCATCCCTACCACTACCACCAGCAGGAAGAAGTCCACTGGGTCTCCTTGGCTGTCTACCACAGTCAGAGAGCGCTTGATGAGTTGGTTGAGGACAAAGCTAATGCCACCCAGTACCAGCAGCGCTTCCCCAGGAGTGAAGCAGCGAGGCAGCAGGTACAGCAGGATCATATTGAGATACACAAAGATCAGCAGGACTTCCAGGACCTCAATGACCTCACCCACGCTGAGTGAATGTTTCATGATATAAATGATAATACCTCCCGCCAAACCAGAGATTGCACAAGTATTGGTGGGTAAGGGACGAGTGATGCCCAGTGCCAATACCGAGGAGAAGAGGGCCACGGCCATGCCCGTGGCGGCTACCACAATGCCAAAGCGCTCGAAATGCGGGTTCTCCGCAGCCTGGCACCGCTCCTTCATGACTAGCCCTAGCAAAGGCATGACCATGGAGGCGGGCAGTAGGCCACTGTTGGCCGACATTCGGAACTGGAACACGGCGTTTCCCTGCTGCAGCAATCGGTCCCACTTGTACTGGACGTAGAAGGCCTGCACTGCGAGGGCCACCGCACACCACGAGTATCGGTCCCACACGGCCGCGTGGATGCTCAGAACCACCGCGAACACCACTAAAGCCTCTGCCAGCACCGACCCGCTCAGCGGAGCCTTGGGCTCCGGGGCTGAGGGAGGGCACTTTCGGGTCATGTCTCCAGACCAGGGGATCTGTAGAAGCCGGGGTAACTAGGGACGCCTTGGCCTCCGGGCCCCGTCACCCCGCCAAGCAAAGGGCAGCAGCTTCACCCAGCCAGCAACCTTGTTCAGCTTCAAGGAGGAAGTCCCACCGTAGGTCACTCTGCGGCCGGGAAGCTGGCGCCGTCGGGTCACCTCGCACCGCTAGACCACAGTCTATCCAGTGGAGTCGCGGCCACTCCTCCACGCTCAGGACCTCCGCCGCCGAAGCCGCGCCGGGCCGGGCATCGCCATCTTGGCACCGCCCCCTGGGCGTCACGTGACGCGGAAGCCCCGCCCAGGCACTCTGGCGGCGAGCGGTCACGTGGGCCCGTCGTCTGGGGGCGGGCCCGGGGCGCGCGCGCGCGCGAAGATGGCGGCTGCCGCCTGCGGGCCGTATGTGAGGTGAGGATCGGGCCGGGTCTGCGGCGGGCGGTGACTGTGAGGCGCCGGGGGGAAGCGAAAAGGGAACCGGGAGAAAGGTGGGAGCAGGAGGTGATGGCTGTGACGGGGACGACTCTGGCGGGGCGCACAGGCTGCGGGACGGCAGGCGGTTACGTCTAAACGGTCCCGGCACGCGCGGGTCTGAGAGCACTTCTCCGGGAGTGGGCCGGCCGCCGTCCCCTCCTCCGCGCCGGCCTCGGGGCTCCGCGCCCCGCTCCCCTCTCGTCCCTCTCGGCGCCCCACCCATGCCGCTCGGTCGCGGCGCGCCGGGGCCCTGGGCGGCCGCCTGCGGGGACCTCTCCCCGCCCGCCGTGCCCGTCCCCGCCGCCGCCGCCTGCCCGTGCCTTCCCCGGGCCCTCCTCAGGGCTCTGGTTCGCGTCCCCGCGCTTCCCGCCCTCCTCCCCTTCCTCCCCCTCCTCCTCCTCCTCCTATCTGCTCATCACACATCGATTCCATCGGCCGTGGACGCGTCCACCTCCTTCCGAGACCTTCCCGGCGCCGCACCAGGCTTCGGGAACCAGACGCTGAGTGATTAAAAACCCAAAGGCACCGTTCTCCAGTCTCGGAGCGCTTGCGGAGCCGGGCCCCGGGAAGCGAAGCGCTTTCCAGGCTTTCATCTCAGCCCCTTCTTCCCAACCCCGAGGGGCGCCCACTCGAGTCTACCCACCACTCTGGGATAAAGGGATGAAAGGTGTCTCGCTCCAAAGCTGTAAGCAGGCCAACCTCACCTCCATTATCGACTTTGCAGCTTGAAGTGTCTTTCTCACCATCTCCTAAAATGACACCTCCTCCTTAACTTCTTGCCTGGTCCTGCCATAACCCCGCTTTTTTCTTTCAATCTTGTTCATCCCTATCAATCCAGAACAGCATGTACATATGTATTATATCCAAGGTCCATCTTCTCTCGTATCACTTCATCACTGGCAGCTGTGAGGACCATTTTGCCTATTCCTCCCCTGCTTTTTCATGCCAGCCCTTATAGGGCTGGTGGCCTCTGGATCTCTTCCTTTTCCCAGGCCTAGTCATTGTGCAGCCTGGGTGAGCTTTTGCTACTGTAGAGTAAGACTTGGTACATTAATGAGAGCATAAGGGAAGGAAAGCAGCTTCACTTAACCACGCCACCACATTTGCCAGTATGTAGTGTTGGTGCAGGGCTTGAACTCAGGCCCTTGCAGTTTTTCTTTTTTGCTAGTCCTGGGCTTGAACTCAAAGCCCTGGGCACTGTCCCTGAGCTTTTTTTGCTCAAGGCTAGTACTTGAGCCACAGTGTCACTCCTGGCCTTTTCTGTTTATGTGGAACTGAGGAATCGAATCCAGAGCTTCATGCATGCTAGGCCAGCACTGTACAATTAAGATACATTCCTATCCCTGGGCCTTGCACTTTTTTTTTTGGTCCATCCTGGGGCTTGAACTCTGGGCCTGGGCGCTGTCCCTCTGCTCTTCAGCTCAAGGTGAGTGCTCTACCACTTGAGCCATAGCACCACTTCCAGTTTTCTGAGTGGTTTATTGGAGATAAGAGTCTTATGGACTTTCCTGCCCGGGCTGGCTTTGAACTTTGATCTTCAGATCTCAGCCTCCTGAGTAGCTAGGATTACAGGTGTGAGTCACCAGCGCTTGGCAGCCCTTGTACAAATTTTTTTTTTTTTTTGGTCGGTCGTAGGGCTTGAACTCTGGGCCTGGGTGCCCTTCAGCTCAAGGCCAGTACTCTACCACTTGAGCCACAGCACCACTTCTGGTTTTCTAGTGGTTTATTGGAGACAATAGTCTCACAGACTTTCCTTTCCTGGGCTGGCTTTGAACCGTGATCCTCAGATCTCAGCCTCCTGAGTAGCTAGGATTACAGGCGTGAGCCACCAGTGCCTGGCTTGTACAAATTTTGCTTGGCTGTTCTCACTTGAGCCATGCCTCCAGACCAGCTTTTCTGCTAGTTAATTGGAGATAGAGTTTCAGCAACATTTCTGCCTGGGCTGGCTTCAAACCTTGATCATCAGATCTCACAGGCCTGAGCCACCTGTGCCCAGCTGCCAGTACACTGGGGAACCTACCAAATTTATCTTTGAAGATGGACTATAACTGGCACTGGACATATTTACTAATTTTATTTTGGTATGGAAGATGGAACTCAAAATCTAAAATGCTAGGTTAACATTCCAGCTCTACACCCCGATTTCAGCTCTAGGTGCTGGTTTGCTGATGAATCCTAGCAGTTGAAATTGTACTGAGCGGACTTCTGTTTCAGGGCTGGACTAAGAAAACTGGGTGCCAGTGGCTCACACCTGTAATCCTAGCTACTCAGGAGGCTGAGATCTGAGGATCGCAGTTCAAAACCACCCTGGGCAGGAAAGTTGGTGAGATTCTTATCTCCAGTAAACCACCAGAAAACTGGAAGTGGCACTGTGGCTCAATGGTAGAGTGTTCACCTTGAGCTAAAGAGCTCAGTGACAGCATCTAGGCCCAGAGTTCAAGCCCTAGGACCAACAACCACAGTAATAACGCTTCATTTCTATTCTTGGTGCTTGCTGATTGTGTTTTTTTTTTTTTT